TTATCTGAAAAGGTTTCATGAAATTCTGTTGTGTGGTTTGAGAGGAGTTGCGATGACAAACTGTTGCAGTAGTACATTAAAGTAAATAAGTTCAAAGGGGTGTAACTCCTAGAAAAAGAATTGAATCGTAAATTTCCTGTCGATATGCACAACTACATAGTATGTCCTTATCATCTAAAAAGGTTTCGCGAAATTCTGTTGTAGAGGAGTTGCGATGACAAGAAACAGGACTGACGGACTGACGGACTGATGGACAGACGGAAGGACGGGTCAAAAACATTATACCCTCCGCAACTCTTTGCATGGGGTATAATTAAAGGTAAATGATTCAGTATTATTAACAACAAATGTACTACAGTTGTCCACACTGTAAGGGAATACCTCTATTGGTAAAATACGGAAAAATGAAAATAAACATTTTCAAAATTTCCTAAAATTCCATGAAGGTTTAACAAAGTTACTGATGACTGAAAAACTTAAACCTGATCAGACTAGATCTGTATGTTAACTGTAAAAAAACCCTCAAAATACGGAAAAATGAAAATAAATATTTCAAAATTTTGCTCTGGATACTGATTTTTGGTTATAAACAAGCTTCTGTCCAAATTTCCTAAAATTCCATGAAAGTTTGACAAAGTCATCGATGTCTAAAAAAAGTTTAACCACAGCCTGAACCTAAATGTTGACGACGGAATTTAGGATCTCGCTTTCGCGACATAAATGTTGCAGGCTCAACAATAAAAAAAGCCACTAATGCTCCCATATTTGTGATTTTTTTTTCATTCATCATTGTTAAATTAGAGCAGCTTTGTAGTTTCAGACGATAACTAGAGGCTCTCAAGAGCCTGTGTCGCTCAACTGATTCTTCTTTGGCAGGGGTTAAAAAATTGTGTTACAGCTCACTAGCCCAGGACTTGTTGGTAGCAGGTTTTTACTAGCCCTGTTAGTAGAACTGCTAGCCAATCAAAACTGGCCTGCTAGCCCGAGTATGCCTTACAAATTTAGAATTTGTTGCATAATACATAGTAGGTGTCCTTTGTTTTGAAGGCGGCAATATACACTGTATCTAATAAAATAAATTAAATAAATTGTTGTTTTATTAATTATAACAAGGATCTCTAGACATCTTTTGGGATTTCCCTTGTACTAACACAAGTTATTAAACTAAAGTTAGAGTGCGAAAACCAATGTGTCTTCGGACGACGACGACGACGACGCCAACGTCATACCAATATACGACCACAAAATTTTTTTGTGGTCGTATAAAAATTACTTTATAAGAACAATAACTCCAACAAGATGTCAATTGACAATTTTGCTCATGTTGACCTTTTCTTGATATTTTTGCAGTTTACAGTATATCTCAATCTATAAAGATACATGTATTAAGGTCTTCATCAGCACCTCATAAGGAACATTTATGCCATGTTTGATTTCATTCCATTCAGTGCTCCTCTAAAAGAAGCATTTGTATGTATTACCTGTAGAGTCTTATGTTAAACTAAGTCCCCTGCTGGCGGCCATCTTGGATGATGGTTCGGCTACAAAGTAACAACACTTGGTCAGCACCTTATTAGGAACATTCATGCCATGTTTGTTTTCATTCTACTCAGTGGTTCTCTAGAAGAAAACATTTGTATGTATTTCCATAGGGTCCTATGTTAAACTTACTCCCCCTGCTGGCAGCCATCTTGGATGACAAATCAGCTACAAAGTAACAACACTTGGTCAGCACCTCAAAAGAAACATTCATACCACGTTTGGTTTCAATCCATTAAGCGGTTTTCTAGAAGAAGACATTTGTATATATTTCCCATAGGGTCCTTTGTTAAACTAAGTCCCCCGTTGGCAGCCATCTTGGTAGATGGATTTGCTACAAAGTAACAACATTTGGTCAGCACTTCATAAGGAACATTCATGCCAAGTTTGGTTTCATTCCATTCAGTGGTTCTTCAAAAGAAGTCAGGAATCTGATGTTCAGTAGTTGTCATTTGTTGATGTGTTTCATAAGGGAGCTACCATTTGATTTTTATGGGGGGGCTAGGGTGAAATTTGAAAAAAATAGGCAGGACAGGAGTTTTGAGTAAAAAAAAAAGGCAGGATGAGCAACTTGGTAAAAAAAAAATTCAGGATGACAATTTGTGTAAAAAAATTCAGGATAAACTAGTAAAACTAGAGGCTCTAAAGAGCCTGTGTCGCTCACCTTGGTCTATGTGCATATTAAACAAAGGACACAGGTGGATTCATGACAAAATTGTGTTTTGGTGATGGTGATGTGTTTGTAGATCTTAATTTACTGAACATTCTTGATGCTTACAATTATCTCTATCTATAATGAACTTGGCCCTGTAGTTTCAGTGGAAATTATTTTGTAAAAATTTACAAAATTTATGAAAATTGTTAAAAATTTATTATAAAGGGCAATAACTCCTTAAGGGGTCAATTGACCATTTTGGTCATGTGACTTATTTGTAGGTCTTACTTTGCTGTACATTATTGCTCTTTACAGTTTATCTCTATCTATAATAATATTCAAGATAATAACCAAAAGCTGAAAAAATTTCTAAAAATTACCAATTCAGGGGCAGCAACCCAACAACCGGTTGCCTGAATGGTCTGAAAATTTAAGGGCAGATAGATCTTGACCTAATGAACAATTTTGTTTTTGAAAGATTTGCTAGAAATGCTTTGGGTTTAGATATATGAGCCAAAAACTGCATTTTACCCTATGTACTATTATTAGCCATGTCGGCCATCTTGGTTTGAGGGCGGGGTCATCATACACAATTTTTAAACTACATACCCTAATGATGATTGTTTACAACTTTAGTTAAATTCATCTTAGTAGTTTCAGAGGAGAAGATTGAAAAAGATAACAAAAATTTACGAAAAATTGTTAAAAATTGACTATAAAAGAGCAATAACTCCTTAAGGGGTCAACTGACCATTTTGGTCATGTTGACTTATTTGTAGAACTTACTTTGCTGAACATTATTGCTGTTTACAGTTTATCTTTATCTATAATAATATTCAAGATAATAACCAAATAAGGCAAAATTTCCTTAAAATTACTAATTCAGGGGCAGCAACCTAACAACGGGTTGTCCGATTCATCTGAAAATTTCAGGGCAGATAGATCTTGAGCTAATAAACATTTTTACCCTTGTCAGATTTGCTCTCAATGCTTTGGTTTCAGAGATATAAGCCAAAATCTACATTTTATCCCTATGTTCTATTTTTAGCCATGGCGGCCATCTTGGTTAGTTGGTTGGGTCACCGGACACATTTTTTAAACTAGATACCCTAATGATGATATTGGCCAAGTTTGGTTAAATTTTGCCCAGTAGTTTCAGAGGAGAAGATTTTTGTAAAAGTTTACGGACGACGGACGACGGACGCCAAGTGATGAGAAAAGCTCACTTGGCCCTTTGGGCCAGGTGAGCTAAAAAAGGCAGGACCGAATAGAGAAAATATAAAAAGGCAGGACAGAGATTACAACTAAAAAAAAAAGCAGGACAAAATTTTTCATCCTAGCCCCCCCATAAAAATCAAATGGTAGCTCCCTAAGTGATTCTCGTTTCTCGTTTTTTATATAGATTAGACTGTTGGTTTTCCCCTTTGAATGGTTTTATACTAGTAATTTTTGGGGCCCTTTATAGCTTGCTGTTCAGTGTGAGCCAAGGCTCTGTGTTGAAGACCATATTTTGACCTATAATGGTTTACTTTTATAAATTTTGACTTGGATGGAGAGTTGTCTCATTGGCACTCATACCACATCTTCTTATATCTATTTTGTATGTATTTCACATAGGGTCCTTTGTTAAACTAAGTTCCCCGCTGGCAGCCATCTTGGATGATTGATTGGCTACAAAGTAACAACACTTGGTCAGCACTTCATAAGGAACATTCATGCCATGTTTGGTTTCATTCCATTCAATGGTTCTCTAAAAGAAGACATTTGTATGTATTTCCCGTAGGGTCCTATGTTAAACTAAGTCCCCGCTGTCGGCATACTTGGATGATTGATCGCCTACAAAGTTACAACACTTGGTCAGCACCTCATAAGGAACAATCATGCCATGTTTGGTTTCATTCCATTCAGTAAAAGAAGACATTTTTATGTATTGTCCATAGGGTCCTATGTTAAATGAAGTCCCCCACTGGCGGCCATCTTGGATGATTGATCGCCTACAAAGTTACAATACTTGGTCAACACCTCATAAGGAACATTCATGCCATGTTTTATTTCATTCCCTTTAATGGTTTTCTAAAAGAAGACATTTGTATGTATTTCCCATAGGTTCCTATGTTAAACTAAGTCCCCGCTGTCGGCATACTTGGATGATTGATCGCCTACAAAGTTACAACACTTAGTCAGCACCTCATAAGGAACAATCATGCCATGTTTGGTTTCATTCAATTCTGTGGTACTCTAGAAGAAGTTCAAAATGTAAAAAGTTAACAACGACGACGACGGATGCCAAGTGATGAGAAAAGCTAACAAGGACCATGTGAGCTAAAAATAAGGTATGACCCCAAGTAAATACTAAAAGGTGATTCTTTACAGTGGGTTTCTCAATCATCATGATAAGTAATTAAATTTAAGAAGATGAATTTGAAAATTAACCAATTAAAATCAAGAATTTCCTTTGGTTGGTTAACAGTGATGTTTGGGGGGAAAGGTTATCTATTTGTCTTTACAAGCATGCAAATTACTATGGATTGATGTATACAGTATTTACTTAAAACATTTTAAGCACAGGTAGTTGGTAAAACAAATTTTGGTGGTGGGGTTTGAAAAAAATGCCTTCATAAAGTCTATATACTTTTTCCTAAAAAAAGACGTTATCAAAATTTATGGTAATAAGCAGAGCAAACAAATTTAATTACTCAGCTGTAAAAATATCTGTTGATCATATTAACAAATTATCAACATTTTTTTTATGACAAAAGAAAATGGAATACAGTACATCTATTAAGTAAAAGTTTGCTAGACTTACATGCAAGTCTTATGCAACAGATCCAAATGCACTGACTCAAGGTCCACAAGCACTTCTGTTATCACCTCTGTGATGATGGTAAGAAGAAAATTCCTGAACATCAAGCTTGCGCAAAATCTGAAGAAAAAAAGTGTAAAAGAATTATTAAAATTATAAAAATATTCATTCCCATTCTTTAAATAATACAAGTAAAAAAAGAGGGCAAAGCCAACAGATGATCCAATTGTTTCACAGTGTCTTTATTAAGGCAAGAGTGCACTGGCTGAAATGTCTTGTCTGCATTTCTTATTATGATTGATTTTAATTTAGAAAGTCTTTAAAATAAAGGTTATACTACAAGTATCACATAAACTTAACATTGACCAATAAACCATGAAAATGAGGTCAAGGTCATAAGAATCCTACCTGTCAGACATGTACATCTAACAATCATTCCTTACATCAAATATGGTTGACCTACTTGTAATAGTATCTGAAAAACGGACCAAAATTAAATAACTTTAACCTTGATAACTGATCCATGATATGAGGTCAAGGTCAGGTCAACGCTGGCTGATCTACATGTAGAACTTGCAAGGATCCAAAATACCAAACATAAGTATCCTATTACTTAAATAAGCAAGAAATTCATAGGTGAGAAATTCAAATGTAAAAAAAAAACCACTATAGTTTTTTTAAGCAGTCGCTGAACCATCAAAAATGATGTCAAGAACAATGGACATATGACAGACAGATACTTTGTATCATGAAAGAGAAGCAAAAGATACCAAAGGGACATTCAAACTCATAAATCAAAAACAAACTGACAACACCATGGAAAAAAAAAGAAAAAGATCAATAGAGAAACAACAGTATACAAAACATAAGGCACATATATCCAAAGTATGAAGCATCCAGGACTTTTTCCTTCTGAAATATATACAAATAGTTCACAAAACCACTGGATTAGATCATTATGTCCTGCATTTGGCAAGACAAAAACAAACAGTTAATGTTCTTGTGTAATTTTTATTGTCTTCCTAAAAATCCAGCTGTAACTATTATGAATAATTCCTTCAATTCTTTGTAAGTTCATTGCAACATCCTGGATGAAGATGTTGAAATTGGAAGTATATAATTCCAATTTTCCTAGAATGGATATTGCGTGTCCCTAGTTTGTCTAGGCTTTAGAAAAATGCAAGTTCCGTTTTTACATAATTTTTTGTGCTGAATGGAAGACTTTTTACAGCCAGTTCATTACCATTTCTACTGGCTTCACTCTTATGGGCAAATAATCTCCACGCAAATGAGATGTGCCAATGCTTATACAACTGCATACCAAATATTATTGACCTACCACTAGTGGTTCTCCATAAACAGACCTAATCACAAAAGAATACATTGTTGATGACGCTGCCACCTACGACACAAAAAACAGCATACCTATGTCTCGCTTTTTGACTTTGTCAAGTTGAGACAAAAAATGAATCATAATTTCTTGTGCACATTTACATAGTATGTGTCCTTATTATCTACAAAGTTTCATGAAATTATGTTGTGTGGTTTCAGAGGAGTTGCGATGACAACCTGTTGCAGTATTATATCTAGGCCAAAATTCAAAGTTCAAAGGTACATAACACATAGGAAATAAATGGGGAATGTGTCCATGGGACACAGATGATGCCCCCGCTGGCATATAACTTTAAAAAGGGACATAGCTCAAGAACTGTAAAAGTGACGCTACCCAAAATTGTAATTGATCTGAGTTTTGTGGTAATATAAGCATTGTGTATAAGTTCATAACATTTAGTTGAGGCAAACTTAAGTTAGAGAAAGGAAACAAAAAAATCAGCAATTTTTCCATTTGTAAAGGAGCATAACTCTAGAACAGTAAAAGTGACGCCACCAAAATTCCAAATTGATCTGTGTTTTGTGGTAATTAGCATTGTGCATAAGCTTCATAACATTTGGTTGAGGCAAACTAAAGTTAGAGAACAGAAATGAATATTTTAGCAATTTTTCCATTTGTAAAGGGCATAACTCTAGAACAGTAAAAGTGACGCCACCAAAATTCGAACTTGATCTGTGTTTTGTGGTAATAAGCATTGTGTATAAGTTTCATAACATTTGGTTGAGGCAAACTAAAGTTAGAGAACAGAAACGAAAAATTCAGCAATTTTTCTATTTGTAAAGGGGCATAACTCTAGAACGGTAAAAGTGACGCCACCAAAATTCGAACTTGATCTGTGTTTTGTGGTAGTTAGCATTGTGTATAAGTTTCATAACATTTAATTGAGGCAAACTAAAGTTAGAGAACAGAAACGAAAAATTCAGCAATTTTTCCATTTGTAAAGAGGCATAACTCTAGAACGGTAAAAGTTATGCCACCAAAATTCAAACTTGATCTGTGTTTTGTGGTAATGAGCATTGTGTATAAGTTTCATAACATTTGGTTGAGGCAAACTTAAGTTAGTGAATGGAAACCAATTTTGGGACGTATGTACGGACGTTCAGACGGACAAGGGTAAATCTTAATGCCCCTCCCCTATGGAGGGGGCATAAAAATAAAAGAAGAATGTGTCTGAGGATACGAATGCTCCCGCTCAAGCTTTGCAATTTTCTCAGATAAAAAGGGGCATTACTCTATAACGGTAAATGACTCACTGCCCAAGTTCGAATCTGTCTGCTTGATGTGGTTCTTAGCATTTACCAGTTTTATTAAATTTGGATGAGGAAAACTTAAGTAACATTACACGAAATCTCGGATTTTTAAGAGGTATGCAAATGTTATGGAAATGTATTCAGACACCGACATTTACATATATTTACAAACCGCTGCATATAGCTTATCTTGTCGTCTTTACATGTAGTAAATATCAACATTTCTTATGCTTTACCCTCCTATGGGCGGTTATGAGAGACCGCGGTTTATAAAATATATTAACACCTAATCAAACCTTTTAAAAGTTTAGAATTTACATATATGTATGACCATCTCAAAACTTTCGCAAAATTATGTATTTGTATACCTCTGCAAATGGAAATCTTTGTCATGGATTTTTCTATGATGTGAAACTAAAAATTTTGCAATTGTTCCAGTTATAAAGGGGCATAACTCTAGAACGGTTAAAGTGACGCCACCAAAATTCAAACTTGATCTGTGTTTTGTGGTAATAAGCATTGTGTATAAGTTTCATAACATTTGGTTGACTAAAAATTTTGTAATTTTTCCTTTTATAAAGGGGCATATCTCTAGAACGGTTAAAGTGACGCCACCAAAATTCAAACTTGATCTGTGTTTTGTGGTAATAAGCATTGTGTATAAGTTTCATAACATTTGGTTGAGGCAAACTTAAGTTAGAGAACGGAAACTAAAAATTTTGCAATTATTCCATTTATAAAGGGACATAACTCTAGAACGGTTAAAGTGACGCCACCAATATTCAATGTTGATCTGTGTTTTGTGGTAATAAGCATTTCATAACATTTGGTTGAGGCAAACTTAAGTTAGAGAATGGAAACGAAAAATTTAGCAATTTTTCCATTTGTAAAAGAGCATAACTCTAGAACGGTTAAAGTGACACCACCATAATTCAAACTTGATCTGTGTTTTGTGGTAATAAGCATTGTGTATAAGTTTCATAACATTTGGTTGAGGCAAACTTAAGTTAGAGAACGGAAACTAAAATGGTTAAAGTCATGCCACCAAAATTCAAACTTGATCTGTGTTTTGTGGTAATAAGCATTGTGTATAAGTTTCATAACATTTGGTTGAGGCAAACTTAAGTTAGAGAACGGAAACTAAAAATTTTGCAATTTTTCCATTTGTAAAGGGGCATAACTCTAGAAACGTTAAAGTGAAGCCACCAAAATTCAAACTTGATCTGTGTTTTGTGGTAATTAAGCATTGTGTATAAGTTTCATAACATTTGGTTGAGGCAAACTCAAGTTAGAGAACGGAAACCAATTATGGGATGTACAGACGGACAAGGGTAAAACTTAATGCCCCCACCGCTACTGCTGGGGCATAAAAAACAGATATGAAACAAAAATAATAATAACAAAACATGTATCAGTACACAGGCTTGAACAGGTTTCTTTTGCTTTTTGATTTTTAACGTAATTTCCAAAGCTAAAGAGAATAAAACTTGTAGAAAAATATGCTGAGCTGCTTAACTCGCATCTCTTTCAAAAAAGATATGAAACAAAAATAATTACAATAAATGTGGAATGTGTCCATGGGACACAGATGATGCCCCCGCTTGCATATCATATAAAATTATAAACAGACATAACTGAAAAACGGTAAAAGTGACCCTACCCAAATTTGAACTTGATCTGCGTTTTGTGGTAATAAGTATTGTGTATAAGTTTCATAAAATTTGGTTGAGGCAAACTTAAGTTAGAGAACAGAAACGAAAAATTTGGCAATTTTTCCATTTGTAAAGGAGCATAACTCTAGAACTGTTAAAGTGACACCACCATAATTCAAACTTGATCTGTATTTTGTGGTAATAAGCATTGTGTATAAGTTTCATAGCATTTGGTTGAGGCAAACTAAAGTTAGAGAACGGAAACGAAAAATTCAGCAATTTTTTCATTTGTAAAGGGACATAACTCTAGAACGGTTAAAGTGACGCCACCAAAATTCAAACTTGATCTGTGTTTTGTGGTAATAAGCATTGTGTATAAGTTTCATAACATTTGGTTGAGGCAAACTCAAGTTAGAGAATGGAAACCAATTTTGGGACGTACGTTCGTACGTATGTACGTACAGACGTACAAGGTTAACACATAATGCCCCCACCGCTACGGCGGGGGCATAAACTAGAGGCTCTCAAGAGCCTGTGTAGCTCACCTGTATTTACTGATGCTTTGGAAATCATGTAAAATATGACTAACAAAGGTGGCCTTTGTTAGTCTTGTATCATTTTTTAATTTTAGTTTCCTGTGTATAATTTGGAGTTTAGTATGACGTCCATTATCACTGAACTAGTATACATATTTGTTTAGGGGCCAGCTGAAGGACGCCTCCGGGTGCGGGAGTTTCTTGCTGCATTGAAGACCCATTGGTGGCCTTCGGCTGTTGTCTGCTCTATGGTCGGGTCGTTGTATCTTTGACAAATTCCCCATTTCCATTCTCAATTTTATTAAAATCATAATTAATAGTATTAGATATTAGATATTATAATGATATCTAAGATAATAATAAAAAACTGCAAAATTTCTGTAAAATTACTAACTCAGGGGCAGCAACCCAACAACGGGTTGTCGGATTCGTTTGAAAATTTCAGGGCAGATAAATAAAAATCTGATGAACATTTTTGCCAACTGTCAGATTTGCTCTAAATGCTTTAGTTCCAGAGATATAAACCAAAAACTGCATTTTACCCCTATGTTCTATTTTAAACCAAGTCAGCCATGATGTTTTGGAAGGCGGGGTCATCAAACATTTTTTAAACTATATACCCTAATAATGATTATGGCCAAGTATGGTTAAATTTGTCTCAGTAGTTTCAGAGGAGAAGATTTTTGTAAAAGATTACAAAAATTTACGAAAAATTGTTAAAAAATGACTATAAAAGGGCAATCACTCCTAAAGGGGTCGACTGACAATTTTGGTCATGACGACTTATTTGTAGATCTTACTTTGCTGAACATTATTGCTGTTTACAGTTTATCTCTATCTATAATAATATTCAAGATAATAACCAAAAACTGAAAAATTTCCTTAAAATTACCAATTCAGGGGCAGCAACCCAACAACAGGTTGTCAGATTTGTCTGAAAATTTCAGGGCAGATAGATCTTGACCTGATAATCAGTTTTACCCTATATCAGATTTACTCTTAATGCTTTGGTTTCAGAGATATAAGCCAAAATCTACATATTACCCCTATGTTCTATTTTTAGCCATGGCGGCCATCTTGGTTGGTTGGCGGGGTCATCGGACACATTTTTTTAACTAGATACCCTAATGATGATTGTGGCCAAGTTTGGTTAAATTTGGCCCAGTGGTTTCAGAGGAGAAGATTTTTGTAAAAAGCTAACGACGACGGACGATGGACGCCAAGTGATGAGAAAAGCTCACTTGGCCCTTTGGGCCAGGTGAGCTAAAAATATCATCAGTCCGACATTTAAAAAGCACCCTGCTAGTTTTTAATATCATTAATTATATCTTCAGTTCTATTTTGAATTTGGGAAGAACAATATCTACTTCATCAATTCAAATATTTGCACGGTCTCTGAAACCATCAATACTTAAACTTTGCTGCAAAAAGTACTATACAATATTTATAGATTATCACATGCCCTTTTCCATATTGGCCCTGGTATCATCCCGAGACTCCCATATCAGCCAGAGGATTTAGCCGAGGGTCGATATGGGTCGAGGGATGATACCAGGGCCAATGTGGAAAAGACATGTTATAATCTAATTATCTCATATTCAATTTCTGCAGAAAAGAGAAAAATGTTCAATTATAACTATTTAGTTTACCACAACAGGTAAATTCTAAAAAGATTTATCACATTTTCCATTTTTTTTTTTTTCATTTACTGCATACAAATTTATTGTAACATTTCCCATTATTTTTTAATATTGTAATACACAAAAGCGACAATTTGCCATAACTAGGGCCAAATCGACAACAGTTGGTTGGACATTGTTTTTAGTGGACATTGTAGCAGAATTCGCAGAATACAAACACCGTCATTGTTCGCCTTTGTCGTTAAGGACGCAATGACGTCACATCATTTGGAATAGGGGCACAATAACCAATAACCACTTTTTTGCCCCGGGCAGCAATATGAGTAGGACAATTTTGCGGTTATTACATATGCAAAACTCAATGTTTTCGTAACAAATATGTGATAAATGGATTTATTCCATATTATTATTATTTTAGTAGGTTTCTCTGTAAGAATTGGATTTTAAATAAAAAAGCATATTCACCTGAAGAAAAGTGTTATTCACCGCGCTAAACGTCACACGCTTTTACATGTAACGTAAAATGTTTGATGTGCAATTGGTTTGGGTAAATATTTGTCATTAAATACATTGTTTTCTCTCGGAATATGGAATAAAACAATTATTGTCTTTTGTTTCGGTAAATATGTGGTTTAACTGACTTTTGAAAAACTGATATTCATTTTGGATGTCGGCCTCAGTGAATATCAATTTTTCAAAAGTCAATAAAACCGCATATTTACCTCATCAAAAGACAGTAATTGTATAATACTTTCTTCGTAAATGCGAAATAATGCACACATCTTACAGCATTTACTAGGGTCTGGATAGGATCTTTCATATCTGTATTCTATGATAATTTAGATCATATTTCTCTATGTTTTATATTTTGTGTCCATTATCATGATTATTTTCTATTCTGTATATATAAGACCCATTTTATCTTATCTTTTGGGAGTCGATTATTTTCTTGTTTTATCTTTTGATTCTAATCAAGACCCTCATTTACATTTGCTGTACATGTTAGATATAAACCGCAGTCTTGCAAAGCTATACCTGTGTAAAGATTTGTTAACAATATCAATGTTTCATATTATAATTATGTAGTAAATAAAATGCATTTCTTTACGTAAATGAACGAATCCGACAAATGTTTGCAAATATAAACAAACATTTGACAGCATTTACTTTGGTTTTAAATGTTTTATAAACCGCGGTCTCTCAAAACTTTACATACCTGTGTAAAGATATGTTGCAAATATCAATATTTATCAAAAAACTATAATACTGGAAAGTATAAGTAAATAAAATACATTTCTTTACATACATGAACGATATCAACAAACGTCTGCAAATATAACATAAACATTTGACAGCATTTACATTGGTTGTAAATGTTTTATAAACCGCGGTCTCTCAAAACTTTACAAAGCTGTGTAAAGATAAGTTGCAAATACCAATATTTATCAAAATAACTATAATACTGGAAAGAATGAGTAAATAAAATACATTTCTTTACATATATAAACCATATCGACAAACGTTTGCAAATATAACATAAACATTTGACAGCATTTACATTGGTTGTAAATGTTTTATAAACCGTGGTCTCTCAAAACTTTGCATACGTCAGTAAAGATATGTTGCAAATATCAATATTTATCAAAATAACTATGATAATGGAAAGTATTAGTAAATAAAATACATTTCTTTACATGCATGAACTATGTTGACAAACGTTTGCACATATAACACAAACATTTGACAGCATTTATGTTGGGTGTAAATGTTTTATAAACCGTAGTCTCTTAAAACTGCCCACACCTCTGTAAAAGAGGTATGCAAATTGTAAACTTTGCATACATCTCCCCTCCAGGAAAGTGCATGCAAATCTATGGCCTATCTTTACATATCTTTGGAATATGAGTAAAGCTATGGAAATAAAATAATTATCTTTAGCATATCTTTGAGGACCTCCTAAATAATGTCAAAGTTAATAATACATTTACATATACATTATTAGGTCCACAAATATATCTGGAAGAAAAGTAGTTATATTTGTCAATCATTTACATGACTGCCCAAATTGATGTATATCTGCCTTTTTGTTTAGTGTAAGAATGTGGAAATGAAAATGGGATGGACAGAAAGCCAGGACAGACAGACAAACAGAAAGACAGAAGGACAGACAGACAAACGGAAAGACAAAAGGACTGACTGTCAAGGGTAATACTTAATGGCCCCTTTGCCTATGGCGGTGGCATAAAAGAATGAATCATAATTTCCTGTTGATATGCACATTTACATAGTATTTCCTTATTATCTACATAGTTTCATGAAATTCTACTGTGTGATTTCAGAGGAGTTGAGATCACAAGAACAGGACTGAAGGACAACTGAAGAACTGACAGGTCACAAACATTATACCCTATGCAACTTGGTTGCGTATGGTATAATAAAACAAAAAATTGAGAATGTGTCCATGGGACACAGATGATGTCCCGCTTGCATATAATGTTATAAAGGGACATAACTAGAGATCTGTAAAAGCCAAACTTGATCTGTGTTTTGTGGTAATAAGCATTGTGTATAAGTTTCATAACATTTGGTTGAGGCAAACTAAAGTTAGAGAATGGAAACGAAAAATTCAGCATTTTTTCAATTTATAAAGGGGCATAACTCCAGAACAGTAAAAGTGACGCCACCCAAATTCGAACTTGATCTGAGTTTTGTAGTAATAAGCATTGTGTATCAGTATAGGGGGAGGGTTTAGATCTCACAAAACATGTTTAACCCAGCCACATTTTTGCGCCTTTCCCAAGTCAGGAGCCTCTGGCATTTGTTAGTCTTGTTAGTCTTGTATGTTTTTGTAATTTTAGTTCATTTATTAAGTCAGAGTTTAGTGTGACGTCCATTTTCACTGAACAAGTACACTTTTATGCAGGGGCCAGCTGAAGCCCACCTCTGGGTGGGTGATTTTCTCGCTGTGTTGGAGACCCATTGGTGACCTTGGGCTGATTTCTGCTCTTTGGTCTGGTTGTTGTCTCTTTGACACATTCCCCATTTCCATTCTCAATTTTATTCATAACATTTGGTTGAGGCAAACTAGAGTAAAAGAGAGAAACCAATTTTGTGACGTACATACGGACATATAGATAAGGCTAACACTTGATGCCCCCTCCGCTGTGGCTGGGGCATAAAAAGCACAGTGGATGCTAGGGTTAATACAGTTAGGCTATATGGAGTCAATATCAAAAGAGAATAACTCTAACTGATAACAAATACTTTGACTTTCATTAATAAAAATATATTATGACATTGTGTTATTGTGACATCAAATAATTATGACATCATAACATTACTAAAGATCTAAATGTTTGACATCTAAATTCATTGTGAAAATGTCTACATGTCTACCATGTAGGTCAGAAACTTCTGAAATAAATGGGGAATGTGTCCATGGGACATTCATTATTTTTCTTGAGTATTGATTCATTGACACAAGCCCAACATATAATTTGATATACAAATCCATACCTTAAAGGTTGATACAAAATATATAGGAATAATCAATCTGAAATTTTAAAATAGCAACCGTAAAAAAATCATACTTGAAAGATGTTCTCAATTTCCTGTTCAGTGTAAGACAGTTTACTGAGGTCATCAGTCAAACTGTTCAGACTACGAAGATTGTTGTAATCATCCTCACTTATTGGTGGGTTTCTCCTAGCTGTATCTCTTAATATCCAAATAAGTCTTATAAGCAAAGACAGTTCAAGTTTCTCTGAGGTTGGCTTGTCTGAAAAATAAAGGTTGAACTGTTATTAAAGTTTAAGAATAATTAACCATAATGAAAAGGGTATGCAATAGTCATTTGAATTGACTCTCAAATGGTCAAAATTATTTTGATTCAAACAATATATATTGATAAAAATATATAAAGTTTGAATGAAAATAATTTTGACCATTTGAGAGTCAATTCAAATGACTATTGCATACCTTTTCAATATGGTTAATTACTCTTAAACTTTAATAACAGTAAATATATATTTTGATTGTGTAAAATTTTCAACAGAAAATATTCTAAACTCTGAAACATTTAAGTGTCACATAAATTTTTCATGAAGGTTCAAAAATAAAAGTAACACATACTAACAAAAGCTGATTTAGACCTGAACATTTCAATCATGATATAACAGATGTAACTTGTAAGTAATTCAATGGTTGGAACATCACAAGAAAAATCTAAATATTAGGCAGGTCATGTGATCTTCTAGCTATATATATAGTATGCTATAACACTGTACTGTTAACTAGAAGTGTGAGTGAACATATAAAAGGATAACCCAGTCTAGCAATACTATCAGCATATTGAAGTTGTTAATTTTATTTATCATCCGTTGAACAAGTAAGATCAGAATTTTCTTCCTTTAAGCACATCCTCGGGTAATGTTCTACAACTGTGTGAAGTTTCATCAATATCTGCACAGCCATTTTGGAGCAGCTGTGTTTAAGATAAGACTATTACCACATATTACAATACTAAAGTAAGTAAGTTGGATTATCTCCCCTTTAACTGTAGGACAGGTTTTGTATTCCTGAATGCAGTGTCTGTGGTTTTCTCCAATTACAGCTGTTTAAGAGGAGTAACACTTACATCATGGACCGACGGACAGACAGACAGAGAAACAGACAGATTCATATACACCCCCTCCAAAAAAAATTTATTGATTGATTGGTGGTTGCTTTATGCAGCATCAACAGTATCTCACATGGTATATAATAAGGCAACAATTTACTCATGGCTGATAAAAATCAAAACAGTACCATAACAGGACATGATAACATTGTAATTTTGGGTACCATGCATTTAACTTGTAAGAAGTGAATTTTGATGTTGCATTACTAGTAACATGAAGAAAATAAAATGTATTGGAAATTCTTGTTGATTTTTGCCTGCTGAATGCTTTGTTTGAATAAATTTAGTAAGGCCACATTTTAATACGCAAATACTTATCCCACTGTCAAACATCGGAACAGTATTTGAGTTCATCCACTGAGACTAAATATAACAAATCAGACATATTTAGGTTTTTGTTTTCTGGTATTCCATGATCAAATTATGCTCAGATAAATCCCAAGTTAAGAAATTATAATTTTATATGTTGCATTGCCATTTATATGTTTCACTGGTAACATTGAAGCTTTAATCACTGTCATGATTGGTTTATTTGTATATAAAGGTTGGCAGACAGATAAAAATCAATAAATAAACATTTAAAACTTCCCTACAGAATACTTTCAGCTACCAGTATATGTTTGGCTCAAATGAATTAATCAGCATCTGTGAAGGACTTCTAACAATGCATTCCCTAGTATATGTTCTATTAATCACAAAAATTATAAAGGTACCATTCAATAATGATTCTAGTTGTGTTGGTGTGATTTGTTTTGCTTCTTTGTAATCTATCAAAGTTGTTTTCTTTCTACTAATTACTGCTGGAAGTCTATCTGGTGGAAACTCCTTGTCAAATTTAACTCTTGCAGCTTTATTAACCATTCTGTTAATCTGAATAGCTCTTTCTTCTTCCTCATCAGTATCACTGTTTAGGTAAATAAAAAGCAATAACATTCATTAACTTTCAAAATCATCAATATTTTACATGCTGTTTAAAAAATGAAACAAATAAGAAATTTATTCCATGAAAGCTGCAATAGTAACTTAATAATAGAGACTTTACACATAAGTACCTGCAAGAATATCACAGGTTGTGGTTGTCAGTGAACATACAATATACTGAAAGTTTATATTAGAGGCTGTTTTGATCTTGTTGGAAAGCTCTTAAGCTTACTTGAAGTAACTGTCAAGATAAATAGAAATGTTTATTATTATTGGACATTAATAATTTTGTAAGGCATTATATATCTTCTTCAGAGATTTCACTGTGGCTGCATTGATAATTACAAATATTATGTCTTTTTTGTCAACTTTACATAGTTTGATTGATTAATGAAGCTCGAAACAAATGTACAAACATTACTCTTTACTAAAACTATTAAAAACATTTTTTGAAAAAACTCTTAAAGTCATATGAAATGAGTTTCTTGTAATTTTAGTGTTAAGGAAATTATTGAATCAATGCATGCATATATGTGACCAGGGAAAAAGCAGCTTCGTTTATTATTTTGGACTTTAATATACATTTCTCAATTTTGATATTTTAGACTTTAATTCTCTGTGTTTTATAATTCATATTATTTTCGTTTCTATTTACATTTCATATCCAGGACTTAAAATCAACATGCTTTGATATGCATTTAATTCTCAGTTTGGACATTGAGTGACATGTTTCACTCCGTTAGCTAATTAGTGACATTTTAACTTTTTCATAATTATATGTTTTTAAATATCATAATCAACTTTATTCTTCAAGTTCTAAAAATAGTTTAATCTTTGTCAGTGAACAATATCACTAAAATTAATGGTTATTTGTTATGTTTATTCTTGTCATTTCAATTGTGTATAAATAATTGTTTATAATTTTGATAAGCAAGATTTGGACTCAGGACTTTACACTGAACACAGTCCATCTGTAATAAAAGTATATATATATCCATGCTGAATTATTGATTTATTCATCGCTAGTTCCAGAGTCTCAAGAGTTAATTTTCACCAGAGTTTCAGTCTCAGAAGTGTCATTGCTATTCAGAGCATTCGTTCATTGTGTGATCAGGTGCATGACACAGTTTCAGTAACAAGAGGCCATTCAGTCAGGCTCTTGTTACACAACCTTATAGGTCACCCAGTTTCCCCGGTGACAGATTTGTGACTTCTATGCTCAGCACACGATCCAGAGACCTCAAGCAGCCAAGCGAGTTCCGCAAACAAGTATCATAGACAATATTCAGCGATGGAGTACAGCTTTCGACCACAGTGGAGACCATGGAATGTCCAGTCAGTTTACAGTCCAGCATGTGGAAGATGCGGAGCTTAAGAAATAATTTACTTGATAAATAATTAATATAAATCTTCACAATTTTAGATAAGTGTAAAGCAAATTATTATGTAACCCCTTGAGGGTTAAATGACAATAGAGAATTAAGGATTAGAGAAGTGTTATATATTCAAAAGGGATTTCTTACTTTTTAAGATAATTTAGGTTATGTCACAAAGACTTGATATTTGGGAAAATAGATAAACTAGCATTATTATGTAAAGTAAATATATTGAGTATTAATGTTATGTAAATTGAATAATGAAAAACAATATATGTTGGTTGACCATGTAGTAAGGGACAGTTGTGTTTTAGACTTTGATTTAGACAGTTATTGGATTGATATTAGACATGTTATTATATTATGTCTCGTGAACTTATGTGATTATTGTGATTGATAAATTATACTGTATGCTGAATTAATAAACAATTATATATAGAACTTGAATCTGTGTTACGTTAACATGTATTCATATGAAAGATACCAGCTAGTTCCCCCAACCTAGCAAGATGAGTAACCAGGTCAGGAACGAGCATAGTACTGGCCTTGGTTATATATATACTAAACTAAGTCAACATAGGGTTGAACGTTGTTTTCAATTTAGATATGTGTACAAAACTAGGTCCTATATGCACGCTTTTTACATTTATTACTAATCTATGACATATTATCGACAAATAATATTTCATTCAGTCTTTGTTAATTGCAAGGGAATAAACTTTTGAGGTTTATTGCTGAAGTTTACCAATTGTAACATTGATATACAATCAACTCAAAATTGTGGAGCATCTGAAAAATAAGTGAAATATTTTTTTTTATATTTTCCATGCGTTCGCCTTTGTTAATTAAATATTTCCACAACAGTTGTTAAATGATTTGTTGTATTAAATTTGTTTTTAAAGAATCAATTAATACTATTTACCTTCCAAAGCATGTTTGTTTACATTCTTTCATCACAGTTTTTACCTCACACTTGCACATGTTGCGCTGTGCAGTGGTCGAAGTTCTAATGAGAGGTCTCATAGTTTAGGTCACTGCATACGGTAAAATATCAGTGAATTAGAGAACAGGAAGACAAAATTTCAATAGCAGTACATTTCTGAAGATTATTTGATAAGATAAAGGTTTTACTTTACAAGAAAGTCCACATACACTTGTTTTATAGGAAAACTTAGCCATTGAAGTATATAAAACATATTCAACTTTTTTTTAAGTTTGAAGTATCATTTGACTTTAATCAATAGCCCATAAATAAATAAACCAATAGAAAATTTCAGAAAAATATGATAAAAAAAAAGGAATTCATTGAATCTGGAATAATTTTGAATTCTGGAAAATTGTTAAGAAATGTATGGTGAAAACTAATTAACATAATGAAGGTGTATATTGCAATGGTCTGAAAATTATTACATGCAATCTCAGTCATATTTGAAGAATTTTAAGTTGTACAACTCAAACAACATTAATTTTGTTATCTTTTTTTGTTGTAAATCTTCATCAGGAATGTTTAAACACAAAAATAGAAGACATTGATGTATGAGATACCTGAACAGATGAAGTGCTTAATGACCAAAAGTATCTAAAAAGAATAGCCAAATCCATCAAAGATAATCTTTGCCTGGGAGAGTTTAAACCTTGTTTCTTTAATTAATTTTTAAATCATCAACAGAAAATTAAAGAAACTAGCTAGAAAGCTATTGGAGTTTTGCACTTTTTTTTATAATTTTGTTTGATTCTAAATCTTTAAAACAATTAAAAGCTGGCACTGCACACTGTTGCTCCCCAAACTGCATATTTAATGAGAGAAAATATTTATATCAATTTTTAAATTTCTATTGTATGATGACCTTGATCTTTGAGCTTAACTGACCCCAAAATCAATAGATTTTCCCCCTAACCTATGTCTTCCATTTTAAAAGTTTCATTTAAACTTAAGCTTAAGTAACCTTATATTGAAAATTTTTTTTTTTCAAAAAATTTCTAGTTTTAGTATGTACAATGTAACAGCCACCTTGAACTTTGATATTTGACCTAAAAATCATAGGCTTCTTCCCTTTCCCTATGTCTAACATCTGTTAAAGTTTCATACCTAACAAGCATGGGAAACTCAAGTTACCATCTGCAAACCATTTTTTCATAAATATTTCTATATGACCCTTGCCATATTGACCAAAAAATCAACACACTCCTACACTTCATCTTTATCTTCCAATTTCACAAGTTTCATTCCAATCAAGCAAGGGATACTAAAGCTATCATTCAAAATCATTTGTTTCAGACTTCACAGATGAAATAAGACACAGCAATCACTACATACTCCTGAGATTTGTTTATGCCTATCTTAAAAAATAAACAGTTGCCACAGAGATATGTCTGCCTGTATGTAATTTTGATAGTTGAAATTTAAATTGCAATACTTCAACATGTATAGATGCCAAACATTCCAAATCAATGAACCATTAAACAAGAGGCTCTCAAGAGCCTGAATCGCTCACCTGTATTTCAGAGGAGAAGATTTTTAAATGTTAGCAAACTTGATGAACAAATTGTGTAAAATTGTCTTTAAAGGGCAATAACTCCTTAAGGGGTCAATTGACAATTTTGGTAATATTAACTTTTTTGTAGATCTTACTTTGCTGAACACTATTGCAGCTTACAGTTTATATCTATCTATAATAACATTCAAGATAATAACAAAAAACTGCAAAATTTTGTTAAAACTACCAATTTGGTGGCAGAAACCCAACAATGGGTTGTTCAATTCGTCTGATAATTTCACGGCCGATAGATCTTGACCAATTGAACAATTTTACCCCATGTCAGATTTGCTCTAAAAGCTTTAGTTTTTGAGATATAAGCCAAAAACTGCATTTGACCCTTATGTTCTATTTTTAGCCATGGCGGCCATGTTTGTCAATGGATCAAAACTTCGGATACATATTATAAACAAGATACCTTAAGGAACATTTAGTTAAAGTTTGAAGGTAATTGGCCCAGTAGTTTCAGAGGAGAAGATTTTTAAATGTTAGCAAACTTGATGAACAAATTGTGTAAAATTGTCTTTAAAGGGCAATAACTCCTTAAGGGGTCAATTGACAATTATGGTAATATTAAATTTTTTGTAGATCTTACTTTGCTGAACATTATTGCTGTTTACAGTTTATATCTATCTATAATAACATTCAAGATAATAACAAAAAACTGCAAAATTTTGTTAAAACTACCAATTTGGTGGCAGAAACCCAACAATGGGTTGTTCAATTCGTCTGATAATTTCAAGGCCGATAGATCTTGACCAATTGAACAATTTTACCCCATGTCAGATTTGCTCTAAAAGCTTTAGTTTTTAACATATAAGCCAAAAACTGCATTTGACCCCTATGTTCTATTTTTAGCCATGGTGGCCATGTTTGTCGATGGATCAAAACTTCGGATACAATTTATAAACTAGATACCCTAAGGAACATTTAGTTAAAGTTTGTAGGTATTTGATCCCAGTAGTTTCAGAGGAGAAGATTTTTTAAATAGTTTACGACGACAGGCGACGGACGCCAAGTGATGGCATAAGCTCACATGGGGCCCGAAGTCGGTGAGCTAAAAAGCACAG